TAAGTTATATATATATGTATATGTCATGATTGGTATTATTAGACCCACCCACCAATTATTTGGCAAAATCCTCCGTCGACTTCATAAAAAATCATTCGTCGACTTCATAAGAAATCCTCCGTCGACTTCATAAAAAATCCTCCGTCGACTACATAAGAAATCCTCCGTCGAACTTAAAGATCCGCGGTTGGATGGAAAAATCCTTCGTCCAGTGGAAAAATCCTCCGTCGAACTCAAAGATCCTTGGTTGGAAGGAAAGATCCGTTGGAGGAATTTGGCTCAACTAAAAGACACAAGTGGAAAAATCCTCGGTTGGATGGAAAGATCTGTTGGAGGAAGTTGGCTCAACTAAAAGATACAAGGAACCTCTCTCTTTGGGTTCCTTGGGTGTTTTTCATGGAGGGCTTTTGTTGTAGGTTGCTTTTGATTGGCCAAGGAGAGAACAACCTGCAGGAAACATGGAAGCCTAATTTGAGGACTTGTTTCAAGATGTTCTCTAATCCAGTGGAAAAATCCTCCGTCGAACTCAAAGATCCTTGGTTGGAAGGAAAGATCCGTTGGAGGAATTTGGCTCAACTAAAAGACACAAGAGATTGAAGAAAAGCAACCGGCCGTCTAGTTTCTGCTGTGCTATTTTTTTTCCACATGTTTTTAACCTCTCTCTTTGGGTTCCTTGGGTGTTTTTCATGGAGGGCTTTTGTTGTAGGTTGCTTTTGATTGGCCAAGGAGAGAACAACCTGCAGGAAACATGGAAGCCTAATTTGAGGACTTGTTTCAAGATGTTCTCATCTTTGGTCGAAGATATAGCTAAGCTAAGATAGAGGCAAGAGTGCAGCCGTGAGAGAGAGGTAAAGTAGCTGGAAACTAGTGAGTGCATGAAATACCAAGGGTAGATTGAGTTCTCTAAAGTGTTTGAGCAAGGGTGTGAGAGAAGCAAGTTGTCAGGAAGTTCACGCCTAGAGCTCCGGAAGGCATTAATTTTGGGAAGATTTGTAGCCACCCTACTATCCTGATCTCAT